AGCTCAGAGAAGGAACCAATGAAGACATGGTCCTAACCTTACCTTCCTTGCTTGGTCTCCACTGGCTAACCTCCCCACCCCCACACACACACGTATACCCAGGAACTAGAGTTGCTGGGGCCCTGTGAGATCCACCAAGGAGGGCAGAATGAAGGGTGTTCAATAGACCTAGAGAGGCAAGCAGAAAGTACCCACCAGGTACTCAGTACCATCTGACCATGGTCCAATACTCAGGTCCCCAAGATAATTGTTTCTTCTTTGAGATAAATGGAGTAATTGGAGATCAAAAAGTTGTCAACAGGTAACCAAGCATAAACAGAGGTACCTGTATAATAACTGGAAAGACCACCAGGAGAGGAGGGTAGGGGTTTTGTTGTGCAAAATACTGTTCAGTGACAGTCCTCTGAGGTGGGCCATGCTTTGGGTGGCCATCCCACCCTCCCTTCTGTCACAGTATCTTCTTGTGTGATTGAAGAGCAGAACCCAAATCAATGAGCCTGAGGAATGCACTGTCTGTTAACTTCCAGAGTCTTTTAGGGATTCATATGTGAAAAACCTTTGTAGAATCTCTTTCAAGCCCCAGCCATGTGGCAACATTCCAGGAGAGGCCTCAGTCATTGAAGGCACTCTCTGAGGCTTTCCTGGAGCTAAAACCAGCGGAGCCCTAAGCGGTTTATGAAGTATTTGAGTTAATCCAGTTATCAGGCCCCTCCCAAACTAGCCAGCCTTGTTCTGTCCAGACCCAGATGTAACTGCTCCAAACAGGCTCTGCTATGTGGAGATTCCCTGGACTTCAACTAGGGTCCCTCTCCAGGGCGAAGATGCCATAGGATTATTCAGAATAGAAGTGTTTCCATAAATTATTTTAGAAAACCCTCAGCAGGGAAGGCCCTAAGCTGATGAGGTCATATAACAGGTGTGGTTGCAGGGAGAAACCTGGTAGATATGGGCCATCCAGGTGGAGTGAGCAGGAAGCCAGTGAGAGAAAAAACACTATGCAGATGCTGAAACATAATCAGGTCACCTCTCAAGGACAAAAGTCCCTAGACACCGTCCTTTGAATTAGGTGAATTCAGAATTGACACCAGCCTCTTTGCAAAGTAAACCATGCGGGTTATACATTAAACACTTCTAATGCTCAGGCCAACATAACAGGCACTCATTAACTGAAGCCTTGGGGTGAGCCACTCAACCCCCTTAAACCCCAGTTTCCTCAATTAAGAAACAGGATAAAATTACCTATCCTGGACTGTTTGGTGACAATGAAATGAGATGATCATGTTGTAATACATGAGAAGCCTTTAGCCCAAGGCCTGGTGCAGAGTAAACCTTTGTGAATGTAAACTGTTGTCATCACTATGCAGATCTTGCAACTAAGGACGCTCCTATGAGCAGATATTCAAAGAAATCAAAGGAATCCACTAGGTAATGAGCTTTTCAACTTCAAAGTGTTTTGCTTTGATTGGGCAAGGGAATGAGCTAGCTAAAGAATCAAGCATAAAATAGGATTGAATGTCTCCCCCTTATTAGAAGTCAAGATGTTGTTCTTATGGGCCTCTATGCCTCCCTTAACTCCAGAGTATGGAAAATAGATGAAAAACTTTTTGAAATTTTGACTAAAATGCATGTAACTTGTTTCCTCTGGCCTTTGCTGTGATCTTAATGCCATTGTCTCAGCTGTGCAATGACAAATTGTCATGTTTTGGTGAATTACATTGTATTGAATAGGTGACATGTTTTACTAGTTAATGAACCAAGAGTACTGGGCTATTAAACTATAGGACTTAAGGAAGCTTCTAATATGTGACCCTTAGTTTTAAATTTGAATTAAAGTTGGTTGTTACTAGTGGATTTCTTAAGTTTCAGGAATCAGGTACTCTTAACCAAAAGAAATTGCTAGCCAGGATCATTCTTAAACAAAATCCAAGATTCTGGTTTAGAGTTTTTACATGCAAGACCCTGCAATTATCTAATCTATAGACTTCCTAAATATAAGTTTCTTCATCTTGAAAAGGTGATTATAATAATGATAATATTCTCCCAAGATTCATGTGAAGGTCAAAATGTGTAAGATGTTCATTGTCAACTTTAAAATATACAAAATATTAGTGGTTTGTTGGGTTTTTAAATTTTTGCTAGTGGAAAGAACATAGACGAGAGGTGAAGAGATCCAGATTCTGATCCTGGCTCTGCCCCTTCCAGGATATGTGACCTCAAGCAGGTAACTTAATCTAGAAATCCAGTTTCATCCCCTAGGAAACATTCTAGGATGAGAATCCTTTAGGAGGAGACAAATTAGCAAGGGATGAGGGAGATGAGACCTAATTCCCAGCAGGGTGGGCAGGAGAGGTACTTCTGTAACATGAAGGAAGAAAACTGAAAGCCACAAAGCATGGCCACTGGTTTCCAGGTTGTGACAAGAACCACTCAGTTCTGGTGTTAAGCAGAGAGTTATATACAGTCTATCTACACATCTATATTATCTGATAGGGGCATAGACCTAATCTGAGCCAATCATCAATCTCTCTCTCTCTCTCTCTCTCTCTCTCTCACACACACACACACACACACACACACACACACACACACAGTGCCACTACTGAAGCCAATCCTTCATGCATCCAGTCAGTCATGTCCCTTGAATAGCAGCACAGTCAGCCATGACCAGTGAGATTGCAAAAGCAAGTGACCGTCCCACAGACATGATTATGTGTTGCCATACATGCATGATGCAAAAGCATTGATTCCTGGGACCAAGGGGAATAGAACAAAAGGACATTGATCCATCCATGGCTGGACTCAGACCGACCCAGGCAGCTCCTAGGAGGATGCTCATGGATTTAATAGGAAATTGCACAGGAACTGGGGGAATAACTGGTCCAGGACTCCTGTTACCAGAATCCCTATGCTTGGTCCCATTTTACCCTCAAGCCTTTTCCCTCTGTGTGTTCCCGATAGATTCAAATCTAAGCAGTTTGCAAGATTCCTAGAAAATTCAAATACGCTCAATGAAAATGAAAATAACAGTCAACAGCTATCTTCAGATTCCCAAGGAAGGACTAATGTCATGAAAAGATCCCATGGTAGAGGAAGAGGAATAAATTGACCAAAAGGGGGTAGGGTCTCATGGCCCTAGAAATGACTGGCACATGATGAACTGGTCCTTGGAGATGAAGATTTTGATAAGGTTGGAGTGGAAGAGCATTGGATGCTTAGAAAAGGCCTAAAGGTCATCTGTCTACTTGATCACTGTGTCCGTACAAGGCACAACTGTGAAATTAGGCAAGAAAAGCCCCTCCAGGTAGATTTCCATCACTACCAATCAGGGACTCCTCGACTGCTTACTCCTAGCTGGAGCTTAAAATAGTCACTGCTGAATTTCTCCCTGGGCTTCATATCCTCAACGTGTCAGAGAGATTTTAGTTTTGTTTACATAAAGGTCTCACTGACCTAAAAGTTTGCTTCTTAGATCTGCCAGTCCTTAAAACTATACCTTTTAAACTTTTATTTGTAGCTGTTTAAATTGCAATGCACATAAACTCTCTAAGGCTTGTGATACTCAGCTTTAACATGGAGGTAGAAATAATACTGTCCTCAGAACTGTTGTGAGGAAATCAATGAGATAATGAACCTGAAGGTCCTAGAACACTGGCTGGAACATAGGAAGGGCTCAATACAAAATGGCGTTTGTCCAAGGTCTCCTAGCCGTAGAGATGCAGGAACTTGTAGCCGTGCATACCAGATGAGGAAACTGAGAAACTATCGGTTCACATAACTGAAAAGTCCAAGGCAGTCTGGCTTCAGGTATAGCTTGATTCAGGGATTCAAGTGGTTTTCCGGGACCTGCTGTCTCTCTCTCTCCATCTCTCAGCTCCTGTTCTGCACTGGCCTCCTAGGCAGACAGGCTGCTTCCCACCACCACAGAAGTAGCTTCAACAGCAACATAATGTACATCTTCAAAGATTCAATGCAGAAAAAGTCACCTGCCCAGTCTCCCGGAAACCCCAGGAAACTCTCCTGACACCTCATCTGCTCTGGCAGGGTCACAGCACATTCCTGACCCATCCACTGAAGCCAGGCAAATGTGCTGCATAGATTGCCTCAGGTCTCCTCTGGAATTGGGAACAGAGTTAGTGCTACCAAAACCTTGCAGATTGAAAAGGTAGGGAGGGCAGGCTCTCGGGGTTACCAGGAGGGCAGCAAACAGTTGCTCAATGGAAAAGTACAGGTGAACTCACAGTCCTGCACCACCCACCTAATTTAAAGAGGATTTGTTTGACTTCCTTTGGTTACTGACGACTTAGGGAGGAACACGTCTCCATGTGCCATGGATCTGTCATGTCCAGATGGCAAAGAGTTATGTACAGTCTATCTACACATCAATAGGAAGGTCTGGTTCAGGAGCCTTGAGGGTACTAAGTAGTCAACCAGAAGTCCAAAAATTCAGTAAACTTCACTAACACTTCTAATAAACCTATCAACAAAAATAAACCCAACAATGAATTAAATTCAACTGAGGCTATTTCCTTTAATTGTCGTGGAAAATTTTAGGGCATGTTCTCTTGCCTTGTCTCCGAACTCTCCTCCCAGGAGACATGCAACATTTGACCCTTTCCCATCTGTCAACACACTCACACTCAAACTCCCCTTCAAAGCCTGTTTTTGCAGAAACCTCTTACTGCCAAGTTCTTTGCATTCACTCCACATAGTCATGGCACAGAGCTAGGTTCCCAGGACAGGGGAGCCACTACAGGATTCCGAGTCTTTGGGGGAATGAATTTTCCCCTCCCCACCCAATGCCAACCCAATAGTATCTCACCCTCAGCATTTCCCTCAAATTAGTACCCAAACCCTCAGACCTTAGATAAAGACTGTCTGAAATATTCCCTCTATTTGCAGGTCATCTTAGGCTTCAAACCTCCAGAGGTGGGGACCAGATTTTTAACCTCTTCCAGGTATTGAGATGCCCCTGTTAAGATCTCCTTGCACTGTGTTCTCAGGTGACTGCTGGCTGCTGGCTGCCATCGCCTCCCTTACCTTGAATGAAGAAATCCTGGCTCGAGTCGTCCCCCTAGACCAGAGCTTCCAGGAGAACTATGCAGGGATCTTCCGCTTCCAGGTCAGTTCATGATGGGCTTAGGCTTCTTTTTACCAAGTCCCAGTGCTTGTCACGATCCCTTAGTTTGGCTGGATTCTCCTGTCCATCACATTAGCAGACTCCAAAGAGCAGCACTGCTTTACAGAGGTGACAGTGAGCAGGAAGCTCCCAACCTGCTCATGACATGGGACCCTTCCAGGATGACCATGGCTGGAGGATGGGGGTGGGGGCAGCAGGGGGAGCTCCAAAAACATTACAAGGAGGTGTACATCAGGGCATACAGGAAGTAATTCCCAAATTTAAAAAAATATATATTTATTATCTGAGCTTAAGACAAAATGTCAAAGTCATTTCCCTTTTATATTGATTAATGAGAAATACTATTTTTAAAGAGATGGGTGTGGATTTGGAGGGATGGACAAGCCCATCTGTCCTTGCTTACTTCATGAGGACTTCCCTGCAGTAGGAAATGAAAGGGGCATCTCCTACTGGAATTGGCTGTGGAGCCTACAGCAAGGGACCAGGCAGCAGGAAGCCAGATGCAACTGAGTTTAGGGATCCCAGTGCTGCCACCAGCTCCTCCTTTAGCCCACCCCACACTGCTCCCTCCCTCCCCTTATCTGCAGTTCTGGCAGTATGGCGAGTGGGTGGAGGTGGTGGTGGACGACAGGCTGCCCACCAAGGATGGAGAGCTGCTCTTTGTGCATTCAGCTGAGGGGAGCGAGTTCTGGAGTGCCCTGCTGGAGAAAGCCTATGCCAAGTAAGTGACCATGCCCTCTCCCAAAACCCTGTGGCCTGTCCCTATTGCCCTCCAAAACACAGGAGCTATTTAGGCTTGTTTTGAGTAGACGTTCTCTTCTGTAAAAAGGACTCCTTTGGCCCAAATTGGGTTCTAAATTCAAGGAGATAATGAACACACAGGGTGCTGGGCCACGTGGTACAATGACAAATGATAGCTGTTGCCATTTTTAACCAAATTCACAGAAACAAGTCATGATGCTGAGTGTGCTGGCCTTGAGAAGGAACTTTGTTTCCTTGACAGATTCTATTACATATTTGTCAACTAAAAATAGCAGGTTTTGCCAGTAGGCAAAACTACCTTTGCAAAAGTAGGAAAATTGTGGAAATTTGCCCAGACTAATGGTGTGGCTGATTTGAAGTGGTTTTCCATACTCCTCCCAGCTGCTTCCCATCCAGCTTGCCCAAAGTCAAGTTTGACCGGTGCTCAGCCCTCCCCAAAAGGGCCTCAGCATGGCCACACTTCGCAGGCTCCCTCCATGAAGGTAACCTAACTAGAAGAGAGCAAGTGGATCTCTGTTCCTTTCAGACCTATGCCAGGAAGGAGGGGGCTGGGTTCTGCCAAGGGAACCTGAGCCTGAGCAATGCTTCTAAGTCCCAGAGCTTAAGTACTGGAGTTAGAGAAGCCACCAGACTCCAGCATAGGTAGTCAGCAGCAATAAGCCCACACAGACCCACTGCCTGTTTCTCCGGGAAGATGCTTTCATTATTGAATTGTTGTCATTTTTAAGCTCTAAATGCCAAACAGCCCATTAGCAGACCTCCCCTTTCCCTTCAAGATACAGAAAGAATCAATATGGGAGGCTGGATCAGATCATCAGTAAGGTCCTGCTAACTCGGGTTCTGTGAGATTTTCAAAATACTTCACAAAGTACCAGAGAAAGAGTGACTGTGGAGATGGTAGCTGGACACAGAAGTTGGAGACAAAACCAAGAAGAACGAGAGCAGAGGGTCCCATGAGCATCAATCAAATGTGGGAGGGGGTCATGTCAGAGTACAAGTGGGGTGGCATTCTGAGGGATGAGGGATAGCATCTCTTCCCTTCCTGTAGGATCAACGGGTGCTATGAAGCGCTCTCTGGAGGTGCCACCACCGAGGGCTTTGAGGACTTCACAGGAGGCATTGCTGAATGGTATGAGTTAAAGAAGGCCCCTCCCAACCTGTTCAGGATCATCCAGAAGGCTCTGCAGAAGGGTTCCCTCCTTGGATGCTCTATTGATGTAAGTGTAGTCCTCCTTCCCTAAACTCATCCCCGAGTCTGCTCTGGCTGAAGAGAGGTCCCAACAGTGCCCGAGAAAACCCACTGCCCCATACAACATTAATGTATCCCTGTCCACCATGTTTCTCATCATCAGGAAGACAGGGGTTGCTGGCAACAGCCAGACTTTCTGATGTGCAGTTGATGGAGTGGTGGTGCCTCCAGCCCTTACCTCCCCAGCCCACTTCCCCTTCTCACCCTGCTCTTCATTTCACTTTCTCACCTCCATCCCCCAGACCACAGGGTCCCTGAGAGCTTCCTGCCCTCTCTGATATAATACCTGCCCCCATCCACAGAAGGCTGCACCTAGAGCCCAGAAGCCTTCCCTCACTCTGCTCCAGGGCTGATGGTTCTGTAGGAAGACTTCAGAGGGCACAGGAAAGAACTGTTTCCTCTTAATAGCCTTGCTGGCAAACTTCACCAGTGGATGGGAGGTGGGTGGATGTGCTGTCCCTAAGAGAATCCAGACAAAAGCTGTGCCCAACACCCAAGCCCTGTCCCATCAGAGATCCTGGTCCCCTCTAGGGATGCAGATAAGAAGCCCTGACTCTTGGCACCAAAATCTGTTAGACCCCCAAAAGACCCTCTCTGTTCTTCCTATTAACAAGACAAAATTAACAACCTTCATCAGAATAGATGGGAAAGGAATTATCTCAAGGACTTTCTAATACAAGAGAAGTGAATTTGAACACAGGCGAGAAAAAAACCTCCATAGTATTTAAACCATGCAGTTGGGCTGCGCTAGATCTGCGAGCATGGGGGATCAACTCTTCTGGATCAGCGATGCTGGCTGACCTGAGCCATGATGCCACCCGCAGGCCCTCTCTCCAGGGTGGGCCCTTTTGCACCCTCCTCAGTTTACAGAAATCTGTGAATGCACGTGCTCGCCCTCACAGATGGTCACAGGTCGCCTTCTCTGATAGTTCCTGGCGATTCCGCATCTGAAGGCGGCAATGGGCGGCGGGGGGCCGAGGGGGGCCCTCCAGATGCCGGTTAGCGCAGCTCTGCGCCTCCTCCCTCGGCTTGGGTCCCTGTAGTCGTTAGTATTAGAACAGGAGGGAGGGATGAAGGTAGGCCGCACAGGTGCAGCGGCCGCTGATTGTCGGTGTTTGCAGATCACCAGCGCCGCGGATTCCGAGGCCATCACATATCAGAAGCTGGTGAAGGGACACGCGTACTCGGTCACCGGAGCCGAAGAGGTAACGTCTTGCGCCGAGGGGCAAGGCGCCTGTACTCCCGACACAGTGACCACAGGTGCATTTTGGCCAGTGGTTCCCTGGGGTGGGGCCCCCGCGTTCGCACAGGCCGGGTATTCTCGAAGTTCAGTCGGGACAAGGATGTTCCCTGACCCCGCCCTTGCCAGCGACGTGCCGCGCTGCCCCCTGCTGGCCCTGCTCCACTCCTTCTTCCTGTACTTCGTGAGAACCTCATTCTCCAGGCCAGTGTAGAAAACAAAGAAAGAAAGAAAGATGCAAACAAAAAAACTAGCACTTTGCATCCGAAGAATGTCTTATACCCTTTTAAACGCTCTCACATTTGTTCTTACAATAACACTACTGTCCAAGTTCAAGCGAGACTCTGCCTCCTGCCAACTGCATGACCTGGGCAAATTACTTGAACTCCGTCGTTTCTTCAATGGAAATGGAAATAATAATAATACCCACTGGAAGATGGTGGTGGTGATTCAAATTAATATATGTAAAGTGCTAAGACAGGGCCTGACACACTCTATAAGTGGCTGTCCTTGCTGTTCATACTATTGTTACTATAAACACAACTGAGCCACCCAAGTTCACTGTTAATGACCTGACCCAAGGTCTTGTGTATGTTCAGTAATCTTTAACTTCTCTTTCTTTCTTTCTTTCGTCTTCCTTCCTTTCTTTCTTTTCCTTTATCTCTTCCCTTTCCTCTCCTCTCTTCCTCCCTTCTTTTCTTAACACTGGGGATTAAACCCAGGGTCTTGCACCAAGCATGCAGCTCATGAACTACACCTCCAGCCCCCTAACTTTGATTTTTTTTTAACTTCCTTCCATCTTTAATGTGTTGAAATTTTTCAAGTCTACAGAAAAGTTGAAGGAATGGTATAATAAACATCCAAACTTTACGCCCCTAGACTCAACAATCACTAGCGTTTTGGCCACATCTGTTTTCTCAATATGTGTGGACCTTTTTTTTCCTGAGCCAGTTGCAAGTAACTTGCAGAGGTCATGACACTTTACTTACAAATTCTTCAACATTTATCTCCTATTAATAAGGAATCCTCTTACATGAGCCCACTACTGGCATGACCAAGAAATTAAACATTAATTCAATAACATCATCTAATATATTAGATGATTAGATTAGTTACTCTTTTCCCAGTTGCCCAAAATGTCCTAAAAATTTCTAGTAAAAAATTCCCCACCACAGCCCAGATCCAGGACTCGATCAAGAGTCACACACTAGCTGGGTATGTTGCCTCACCTGTAGTCCCAACTACATAGGAGGCTGAGGCAGGTGGATTGCTTAAGCCCAGGAGTTTGAGGGCAGTCTGGGCAACATCGTGAGCCTCTGTCTCAAAACAAAGCAAAAAAATTCACATGCTGCGTCTGCTTGTTTCCCTCCATGTTCTTTCTCAATAAGTGTTAAAGTTTCTCTGAGCACCTGTGAGAAAAGTGCATCCTATTCCAGTTGGCTAAACAGGTTTTGCTGGAATGTGCCAACCCAGACCCTAGAGCAAGTGTGTTTATGCCTCAGGTTGACAACAAAAATTAAAGGGCCCCATTCTCCAAGAGCAGGATTCTGGAGCTTTAATTTCCATTTTCTAAATCTGGAGAGCATGAGGGACCTGGGGGTCAACACCTTCTACCTTTGATGATCCTCCCTCACAAACAACCTCCTTGGCTCAGGCCAAGAGCCTGAGGGTCTGTAGGAGCTTTGGGTCTGCATCCCTCCAGGCCTGGCTGGCACTCAACCTCTCCTTCCTCTCTCATCTGATCCTTCAGGTTGAAAGTGCAGGAAGCCTACAGAAACTGATCCGAATCCGAAATCCCTGGGGAGAAGTGGAGTGGACCGGGAAGTGGAATGACAAGTGAGGAGGTGTAGGGTTGGGGGTCCTGGGGGGGTGTGCATCCTGCTAGGAGGCCCTGCTGAGACACGGAGATTTGAGGGCCCCATGCACTGCGCTGGGAAATAGGCTTAAGGAGCACGGGCCACATTAAGCAGGCAGGGCCTGTACACAGATGCCCTTTGAAGAGTGACTATACCAGGACACTGTCCCCAGCAGCCTGGGTGCCTTTCTCCAGGCCAAGGGCTCCTGTGATGCTAATTCTTTCACAATGTGGCTAATCCCTCCCCCACTCAAATTCACCCTACTCTTGGGCCTTCAGGGGGGAAAGAAAGCACATCTGGTTCTACTGGTCCTTCTATTCCAAGGACTTGAACTTTGTGCTGAGACCATAGAGACAACCCTCTGTTAATCTCCAGGGCTTCCTGGAAGGCCTCTTAGACTTTCAACTACATGAAGTAAATGCTCAGCTGAGCCTCTCTCCCAGTTCTCCCTGCTCCTCCCCAGCCTGGCACCTCCAGTTCTTCCTCCTTTTCTCCAACTTGCCCCAGGCAACCTTAATCTTGGCAGAGAGATACCTGCCAAGAATTCCTTCCAGATCAGCTGCAGAGGCCGAAATGAGGAGCTCCTTGTTGGTTTTTCAGTTGCCCCTAGAAGATCTACCAGGCCCATCTCAGTTTGGGCAGCCAGGGCCCCTTCCGTACCTTCTGATGGGCTGTGTTCGTTTCCAGACTCCTCCTCACCCCATCTTCCAGAGCAACTTCCCCTGCTACCTTGTTTGTACCTGCACTGGGTTCTCCACTCCCCTGAGAGCTTTATCAGTACTCAGGTGTGTCTGAGCCAGGTGGGGGCTACTTCCTCCCTTCCTGAGGTCTGGGTGAGAGTGGATGTCCCTGCTCCTCAACCTGGGAGCCGTGGGGAGAAGTCCTTGTCATACACCTGTTCCTAAGGCCTCCCCCATTGCTTTGTTTTCCAGCTGCCCAAACTGGAACACTGTAGACCCAGAGGTGAGAGAAAGGCTCACCAGACAGCATGAGGACGGGGAGTTCTGGTAAGATCCAGTAGAGGTTTTGGGGAAAGAGTTCATTACTGGAAAATGCCAAGGGCACACAACACAGGATCCTAATTTTGTTCTTTTAAATGCATTATAAAACCCTGAGCAAAAAACATATGAGGTGGCATATGCCTGTAATCCCAGTGGTTCGGGAGGCTGTGGCAGGACACAAGTTCAAAGCCAGCCTCAGCAATTTAGCAGGGCCCTAAGCAACTCAGTGAAACCCTGTCTCTAAATAAAATAGTAAAAGGGGCTGGGGATGTGGCTCAGTGGTTGAGTGCCCCTGTTGTTTTAAAAAACAACAACTTCTTTACCCTCTTCAATTGACCCATCTTTATGGTGGGATTTACAAGCTGAGCAGCTTCTCAGAGAAGACCGAAAGAGCTATTCCTTTAGTCAGGTTCAGACCCTAAGAGAAAAAAGGGAGAGATGGGGCCTTTCTCTCCACCAGTTTCTGGAGATTCATCCAGTACCTGGTCCCTCAGTCACAGCAACAACCTGCAGGCTGTGTGTCTGTCTACGCCACTCTGAGGACCACTTATCATTGTAGACAACTTTCAGTTTACCAGAAGTGCCCATGTATTGTCTCATTTGCTATTGATGACTCCCATGTGTACCGAGGAGAGTTCTGAACTTCAGAGAGGTGAAGTGACTTGCTCAGAGTGACCCAGCTGTAACCTGGCAGTGCCAGAATTGGAGTTGAGACTTCTGATTCTGAACATGGTGTCTACTATTCAGCCTCAAGGTGCTTCTCTGCCTGTCCTTGACTGGCTACAAGTCTTGCCGTGGCATAAGGTCAAGGCTAATAATGAATGTGTCCTCTTGTAACCCTGAATGCCCGTATCTCTGCTTTTGCCAGGATGTCTCTCAGCGACTTCCTGAGGCACTATTCCCGCTTGGAGATCTGCAACCTGACCCCCGACACACTCACCAGTGATTCCTACAAGAAGTGGAAACTCACCAAGATGGATGGGAACTGGAGGCGGGGCTCCACTGCAGGAGGCTGCAGGAATTACCCAAGTAAGGGCTGCTGCCTCAAGAGGCCACCAGAGGCCCAGGCACCTCTCACCCTCCCTGATAGATGTACTTCTACCCAGCCTCGCAGCTTGGGGGAGGCGGCTCCTTCTCACTGGGACCCTCAGTCTCAACACCCTTCTCTGTTTTCTCAGTGCCATGACCTCCTGCATTCATTGGCCTCCAAAAAGACTAGCTGTTTCTTTGAAGTCCCCTCCAGGCCTAGATTCGCGGTACCTGGACATTCTGCCAGTCCTACAACAGCAGTGTTGAATCCCACGTTACCCTTATGAGTAACTTTATCAACCCTAAGCCCAAGGAGCCGAGTCCTGAAAGGGAATCTCACCCACTAGGACTCCTGTACATCAGGCCCTTGCTGCCCATGGCCTGCGAGTGTGCCCAGTTCACTCTGCAAATGCTGATTGGGCCCTACTCAGGTGGGATGAGGATTTCTCCTCTGGTCCAGCCTTTGTCAATCCCCTCTTCTGCTTTGATGATTCCATCCCTACTCCCCCACCCCCTTAGAAACTGTCCTGATCCTGATCCTGAAGACATCGGCCAATTATGGAGCCTACATTGGGTGCTAGGAACTGTCCTAATGTGCTTTATATATATTACTTCACTTAATCTTTCTTTAAAACTTCTTGGTTATCTCTATCTTAAAGGTGAAGTTTCTGAGACTCAGAGAGGTGAAATGACTTTGCCCAAGCCACACAGCTTGCTGGAATTTGAACCTAGGCATTCTGACTATGGGGTTACTCTTTAAGTACTCTGGTAGCAGGTGGTGGTCATATATTGATTCTCTGTTACAAATGAGGAAACTGAGGCTCTTGCCTCAGAGCAAGTAGTCAGATTGGGATTAGCTGACCAGAACCTCCAGATCAAGTATGTAGTCACCAAGTGTCAGTCCCAAATGCCACCACCTGGAAGTCCCCTTGCCATCCATAAAAATACTTCCCCTATCTACTAGATCAGGGATTGGCAAACACTTTCCAAAGGACCAAACAGTAAACACTTTGGCTGTGTCAGTCAGTCATTGTGTACCATATTTACTTAATTCTACTGTGGTAGGCCCAAGACAGCCTCGCTTCAATGGATGGACATGAACGTGTGCCAATAAAACTTACATTGCAAAAAGAAGCAGCAGCCTGTGCACAAGACCATGCCTTTAATTCCATCACTAGAATTGTACCCATTAGGTAGGGGAAGGAAATCAACATAATTACCCTTGGAACGTGAATAACTCTCAGATCCTTCTTGTGAATGGATTTTAGAAATGAAGAGGTTAGAGATACCACTGGGGTGGGCCAGGGGATAGGCCGAAGACAAGGAACAGAAACTGAAACTGTGCACAGGTGTCCCAGGCCTCTGAGTTCACTGAGAGGTAAGGTGTGTTAGCAAAAATGTAAAGAAAAGACATGGGAATCCCCTCAGCCAGCCCCAAGGAATGTTCTAGGATCTCTCCCTCAGAGCGCTGTGTGGGAAAGCAACCACTAGGGGGAGCTACAGCTCTAACCACCCTCTCTTCTAGGGTGACAACAATTCCCAAGAGGTAACCTAGGGCAAGAGAGAAGTACAAGGGGGAGGTCCTAATTTAGGTCCAGCTAAGATCTAGGCAAGTGCAGACCATCCTCTCATGGAAGCCCACCTCTACCTGTCCCCACCCAGCCACCCTGCCCAGGCTCCACCCTGGTTCCTTTGCTTCTTCCAGCTCCCATCTCCTCCATCTCTCTCCCAGCAACCCCAGCCCCTGTGCATACCTGCTCCCCTAACCCCCAGGCACACCTGCTCAAGGCTGGGCTCCCCTCTCTGTTTGCAGACACTTTCTGGATGAACCCTCAGTATCTGATCAAGCTAGAGGAGGAGGATGAGGATGAGGAGGATGGGGAGAGCGGCTGTACCTTCCTGGTGGGCCTCATCCAGAAGCATCGGCGGCGGCAGAGGAAAATGGGCGAGGACATGCACACCATTGGCTTTGGCATCTACGAGGTGCGGGCAATTTCCCCTCCCTTCTCCCTTGGCAAGGACAGCTGATCCCAGAGGCAGAGTTGGGGATGGGACAGTGGACAGGGATCTTAGTCAATCAAAAACAAAGCCAGAGATCCAGCCAGACTTAGAAGCAACTCACACAAGAAAATCCCTACTGGTGGTCTGCGTCACAGGGACCCCCGTGGCCAGTCTTCTAGGAGTTCTCCATGTCCCTCCTCACATCCCCCGGCCCGATGTTCTGGTTGGTCCACCAAGTTCCAGAGAACAGAAGAGACTTGAACTGAGAACAGAATATTCTGGGTCACATCAAGAAATATTGTGAGGGCTGGACTGAGCCAACAGGTCCAGCTGGTCAGAGTCCAGCAGAGTTCTTGGCTTGGACTGTGGAGGTCTCAGGACAGGAGAACAAACGGTCATTATACTCCCCAGAGCCATGCTGGCTGGAGCCCTGTTCCCCACAACCCCCACAGGTCCTTCTTTCATTCTCAGCCAAACTGAAGAAAAGCCCCACTCAGGTGCAGCCGGAGGGCAGCCTCTTCACCGCCGCTCCCCTTCAGGCTGAGGGCCCATCCCGGAGTGGGGCTCCAGAGAACAGAGCCAACCTGGGGCCCCGTCCCTGCAACCACTCCCCACCCCTCCCCCACCCTCAACACCCCCATACCCCCACTTCTCCTCAGCACAGAGGGCTTTTCACAGCCTCAGGGGAGCAGGGAAGGCTTTAGGGCAGCATTTTGGTTTGCTGAGTGGAACCCAGTGATGCTGGATCAGCTCCTCCTGGCTCCCAAGTCTTGTCCCTGTCTCCCCTCAGTCCCATGTTGCACGAGGTCACTGTGGCAGCCTGAAAATGGTCACAGAGGGAATATTTACACCGTGGGAAATAGCAAATTCTGCCTGGCCCCAGAGCCAGTTTACAGCACATTCTGGTGGACCCAGACAAGGCTCTTTGCTCACCCATCACTGGCAGCTTGGCCACTCTAAAAATGCACCTAGATCTAGACCCTTCGGTCTATGAAATGGAGCTGAGATCTTCTGGCCTGGAGCAGAATAGCTGCAAGGAAAATGCCAACAGAATTGCCCATAGCTGCCCCCGCCACCTCGTGCATTTGGGAATCCAGTGGGCTTTTGGAGTTGGGAAAGTCTTCTGTGATCTTTAGGCCCCATTTTAGAATTAAGGAAACTGAGACCCGAGACGGGAAGTGATTTGCTAAAGGAAATACTGTTGCTTCTTCTTATGGGCCTAGTCCTGCTTCCCTTGACTGGGAACCAGGTATGGGCTTTGCCACTACTAGGCTGGTGAACATAGACAAGTCATTTCACATCCCCAAGCCTCTGTTCGATGCTCAATAAATTGGGGATGGGGGTAGGGACTCTCATCCACATTACTGTCATAAGAGGATTTTTGTTTGTCTGTTTGTTTTACAATTTCACCAATGTGGAAACATTTTGAGTTCCTTGGAAAGCAATTACCATGTCGATATAGGTGATATTGCTAAAGCTAGAAAAAAGCCAGTAGCAAAGGATACAACCATAGTGCCTGCATTTTTATTTGTTGCTTTCCTAGAATCTGAATTGTGCTCCTTTATTTTGCAGGTTCCGGAGGAGGTATGTCTGGCAAGCACCGGCCCCTGCCTCTGGGGACTCAGCTCCACCAATGTGCCTGAGGCTTAAACTGCAGAGCTCAGGGGGTGTGGTGAAGCATGAGGGGGGCCGGAAGGATGGCTGCTGGTGCCTTCCCACTGAGGTCACTCCGGCTCTGCATCCCACTGTTCTGAGCCCAGGGCAAGGTCTTCCAGAAAGCCCCTGTAGGGTTTGCTGGCTGTGTGTGACCCAGCAGAGCCTGTACAGGGTTTAGTTCTGGGTGGACAACCCACAGTCCTCAGACTGCAGGAGGCTTGTTGGAGTCTTGTGTGGTTCTGGGAATGAGTAGAAAGGGGAACGAGGAACCCTGTGGAGTGTTCCTCAAGACAAGGCAGGAGCATAGGGAAGACCCTGTTCCCAGGATGTGCGACCTCAGGCAAGTGACAGCCTCTCTGCTCTTCAGTTTCTATTACAGTGAAACTATTCAGCCATCTACCTCACCAGGCTATTGTAAACATGAATTAAATTATGCCAGAGTGCTAATCTAATGAGATATGATGCAAAGTGGCTGTGTGTCTTAAAGTGGTCACACAGGGTGCCTGGAAACACCTGCTCTGCATTTGTCCCTGGGAAGGTGGCACTGACAGAGCACAGGGCTCTGTTGGATGGTGTGTGAGCTCTGCCCCAACCTTGGGTTACCTCTGCCCTAACAGCAGGACTCCCTTCTTAGCTCTTGATTTTGTCTTTGCAAAATTAAGAGTGGGTCCTACACGGTGTAAAACTGAACCGGATTCCTGCTGTGGGGACTCTCACCCCCTAGAGTCACCTTGCAGAAGGCTGAGGAACTCCGTGTGGAAAGGCAGGCATCTCTGCAGACAGAGTTGAGTCCTGCCTCTGTGGCCAATTGTTTTTAATAGAAAATTGGCTTTTTATCTTAGCAATTCAGACATTGTCACTGTAATCTCTTTATCCCAAAGAGCAATAATGACGTTTATTTGGCACTCCTCCCCCCCACACCCCGTTTCTCTGTTTATTCATCAGTTAAGAGGGCAGACCAACATCCACCTCAGCAAAAAATTCTTCCTGACCACTCGAGCCAGGGAGCGGTCAGACACGTTCATCAACCTCCGGGAGGTTCTCAACCGCTTCAAGCTGCCCCCAGGAGAGTACATCCTCGTGCCCTCCACCTTTGAACCCAACAAGGACGGGGATTTCTGCGTCAGGGTGTTTTCCGAGAAGAAAGCTGACTACCAGTAGGTGGCTTGGTCCCTTCTTTGTGCCTGCCCCTTCCTGTTCCTAGCCACATTCTCTTTTTCGTTACTCTGATTGCTGGAGTCTCTTTCTATGAAATGTGGGAATTGACATCCTGAAGAATTTTTAGTGTTATACTCGGGTAAGCAAAGAAAAAAAAAATCTCCTTAGACTATTAGACTATTTCTTGTTGGAAAGAGGTAATAGGAGAGTGACTTCACAATCTAACTTCACAATTGCATTTCTGAATTATCTAGTTGACACTTTCATCTTAAGGGCTTATACTAAACTGTCTGTGAGCCTCCACCCTTCACTTGGAGAAAGCCGGGCAGTGCTGGCACAGACCAACTTTCCCAGACCCCCAGCCCAGGAGAGCCACCAAGGTGTAAGTGACGATCTCAATGGTCCCCACCATAGTCAACAGGTCTCCAGGCCCTCCCTTTCCTCTTCAGGACCCAGCTCTTAGGAACCCTTTTTGGTTGGTATCACAATTTCCTGACATTGTTCATATGGCCTCAGTTCACAGTGGTTTCTGCCACTTTGGCCTCTGTCTCAACCATATATATTTGGTCGGTCACTTGACTGGTCAATTTAAATAAAAGGAAGTTTGCTGAAATGCTGTGGGGAAGCCCAGCACTGATGGGTGGGGGGCAGACTGGGAAGAGCAGCAGCCAAGGGTGTGCTGGAGGACCCCAGAGCATGGTGACCCCTCTGACCTTGTGCCCAAGGTCCAACAGGCCAGGCTCAGCTCAGCCACCCGGTCGGCCGGCTCCTGTAGAAGGAGGAGCTGTGGTGAGGAGGAGGCCAGGGAACTGCCTTTGCTCCAAGACAACACGGGACAGAGAAATAAGTTCCCATGAGAAAGGGAGAGAAAACGCTGCTGGACAGCTGCAAGCTAATAAGTGCCACTAGAGCGTGGCTGCAGCCCCCCTGCCACTGGCAGGCTCTCTTCTTTTGCCAGTGCTTGTCACGGGGCAGGGGCCTTTCCTCTCAGCTCAGCATCCTTGGAGGAAGCTCTGTGTGTTTAACTTAGTCTCCACTGACAAGGAAGTGAGGACATGGCCAGTGTCATTAGTTGGTATCATGACCCTGTTCTTTGTCAAACACTGTCCCTCCCCACCCACCATAAGCCACTGTCCCGAAAAAGCACTGGGACAGGCATTGACCCTGCACACAAGACAAGCACTGGCTCCCTCAGCTCTCTCCAGGATGAGCTACTACCCCTCAAAGCTGTCTGACTGCCCTGTTCCAGGATATCAGTCCTGTTCCAGATCCCAGCTACAGGAAGGCCCCTGACCCTTTTTTTCTACAAGGCATTGACCCTGCACACAAGACTCTTGGGGGCCTAGCCAAAGATCCCAGGGGCCTAAGGAGGACCCTCCTACACTCTCTGTAGTGCATAAGGACCTGGCTGTATACACAGGGACTGTGCATGGGCAAACTCTTCCCAGGCTGCAGTTGAAATTACACACAGCCACTGCCTGCCCCCTCCTCGACCTGAAGTTTAACACTTAGGCCATGGTGTTCGAGGCTCAGCACAAGGGCCTTGCAATGGCAGAGAGTTTCAATTAGAACTTAAAGGCTGTCCTTAAGGCCAGGAGCTAAGTGAGTTACTTAGCGTCCCAGCTGTCCCCTACATGGGAAGCCTGTGCTATTTCATAAAGAACCAAACCTGACAGATTACTTCTGCCTCAGTTTCTGCTACTTAAAGGAGGCATTTTATCACAGAAACCCAGGGCACAGAGATATTCCCCCACCCTCCTCGTGCTGGGTTTAAATGTTGAACTTCCACTTTAGCAGTAATTGTACTGCCGGTTCACCTGCCTTCCAGTAACACATAATTTCCTTTTATTTCCAGAGTTGTCGATGACGAAATTGAGGCCAACCTTGAAGAGGTACTTGTAATTTTTTTAATTCTTCCAACTCTGTTCTGGACATCCAGAGAGCAGTGGAGCAAAAAATAATGTCAAGGGTTTGGGAGGCACCTTGGACTTTATGAACATGAGTTGAAACTAAGGATAACGGCCCTATACTGGGAATCGAGTCTGCTTTCTGAGCCAGCCATAACCACACTGGGGTCTGGGCCAGTCAGTCTCCTGCTCTCCAGTGGGGAATTCACCCATGTGTATAAGGAGGGTTATGTGGAGAAGGATAAGACACCAGTACTGCATTGAGCAGGGACAGGCCCTTGTCACATCCCTTGCTGGACCTTGCTCATTTATAAAATGGATGCACAAATGATAAGATTACTCAGGCTCCCACATTCTCAGAAAAGAATTTTATTCAGAGGGAAATCCTGGAGGGGTTTTAGGGATGTCACTTGGGAATTAAAAAAAAAAAAAAGTCCCAACTTTAACAAATCCAAGTGGAGAAAGAATATCACAGAGGAAGGGGTTCTCCTCCATCTCCAGGAAGGTCTGATGTGGCTCTGTAATCCCTTCCGCTGCTGAATTTCAATGTTTGTCTCTCATACCTAGAGGGAGACTAAACAATTTTGAAGGGCATCCCAGACAATAGTCACTAGCCATTGCTGAAATCCTACTGGAACATTCCAGTCAGTCTTTGTAATTCCTAGTCTCCATAAAGAAGATCCTAAAAGGCCACTTGGGTTGGATATTAAAGATACCTGGATGAGAAATTTAAGTGGAGCTCCTCTCACAGAGTTTCTGTTTCCCTCACATGTGTTTAAGCTAGAAAAAAATCCCACTAATTCTTCACACTGTCTTTATCACCATCCCAATACCCTTAGCGTGTGGGCCCAGGAGAGGGAGAGAAGCAGAGGGGGAGTGGGTGTTTTGCTGTCGTTCTCCACTCTGACCCATTGTTTCCATTTGTGCCTCACCTTGCAGATCGATGTCAGCGAGGAGGACATCGATGATGGATTCAGGAGGCTGTTTGCTCAGTTGGCAGGGGAGGTAGGTGTTGACGTAAAACAAAAGATAGGGTTTGTCCTCAAGGAGATATCAGTTGAAAGGGAGAGAGAAAACAAACTGAACAAAAGCCAAGAATAATTGTAAATGTAGCTGGATTTCAGCTCACACCTCTTGCCCACGTCCACCCCAAGACCTCTGCAGGCTGCCCACGACCTCTATTCTTGTGGCCAGCTCTCTTCTATGTTTGTCCTTCTTTAGGATTCTTGGATTCACCTTGAAGTTCTTTTATTTTCTCTGTTCCATGCTGAGGCATGAAACTTAGCCCCTTATCCTTGATTTCTAAAAAAAAAAAAAAAAAAAAAAAAAACATTGCTATTTGGGGGACTTGGGAGGATTTCAAGTCTCAAGGATAAAAGCAACTTTATAAGGGATGATTAGACTTCCTATTCTTAAAATAATTCCCTAGCCATGGAGGCCCACTATAAAGTTATTCAACCCTCTTTCTTCCGAACAACTCCCAAAACAAAATTTCCTCCCATGATGTGAAGGAATTTGGCTCTCTCCGGCATCCACCATCAAGCTTAACCAAAGACTCATTAAAGCCCTAAAAACTATCATCTGTTCCGTGTTCCCACCTCCAGCCCCTCCCTCCTGGTTTCTCAAGGGAAGGGGCATTAGATTTATTTCCCCAGTGATTGAAGCACATGCATACACACCCAACACCCAGACAGGCAGCCTTGGTTTTCAATGTTGGACTTGTCCCTCAGTTACACAAATATGTCTGACTGAACAGAGATGCCTGAACCATGTCTGGAGAGCCATAGAGGAGGCACCAGTTCTTGGAGACTGTGTTACAGGAAGCCTGAGGTTTGAGTTTCAAAGCATGAAGAAGGCATGCTGGAAAGGAGGGAATAGTGTGCAAGAACTAAGTCAAAAAAGACCAGGAACATGACTCCTATAGCAAAGAAACGGTGACCTAGAGTGTGTTGTATAGTAAAATACCATCAAAAACAGGCTGGGCAGCTACTCAGTGTAAATGGGGAATATAGCACAGCCTCACTTGGGGCTGTTAGATGTGCAAACGAGACCTGCCCAATGTGCTGCCCGGGGCTTCACCCAGCTCCCACAGGGAGCCAATAACGTGCTGTGGTCACTTGTCCACAGGATGCAGAGATCTCTGCCTTTGAACTCCAGACCATCTTGAGGAGAGTTCTGGCAAAGCGTAAGTATCCCTTCCTTGCAAATCCCTCATTTTCTCCTTCCCCTGTGGACACAAGACATCAGAATACTGTCTCATACTTACAGTGGCAGCTCTGGCTAAAGCATCCATCTCTATTCCTATGGAAACATTGTTGCCATTCCCACCACCACCACTAAAGAATTGAGTGGAGGAGGATTTGAGTGATGTGATTGAAAAAAACGAAAAAAGGTTTCCAGGGTCTAGAGATCAAAGAAGAAACCTACTTGTTTCCTCTGCGTACTAGTTCTGTGATCTGAACCAAGTCATATCACCTCTCTGATTTTCCTTTCCTTATCTGCAAAATAGACACATTACGACTTGCTCTCTTACAAGTGGTCTTATGTGAGGTAACATGTAGAAACTGCCTGGTGCAGAGCCAGCCCTCCATAGATGGTAGCTATTATTAGGTTTTCTTATTGAAAGAGTAGAAACCAGATAGCATTCTTGTGTTTCAGAATTCTCTGGCTGCATTTAGTGAGGAATCACTGGTATAGTGATGACATCTTCTTGAGCCAGGAAGGGAAAATACATGGCCCGTCTTACATTCAAGTTAAGGAAAATGGATTAAAAAGTCCCATCTCTCCGTTTTGTATTTAAATGAGCTTCATCTAACCAGTTCCTTGCTGGAAGAAATGTCACTTCATTTGAGCCACTAAGCCAAGCAAATGACTTCAAGGCTCTGAAAATATCAGCCGTTAGCCCAGGCTAAAGGGCTTCTATAAAGAAAGAATAAAAAACTTGAGATACAGACTTAAGAATAAGGTAGAGTTGTGGTTCCTGCACATCTTTTCAGCTTATTATTTCTTAGGGGAAAAATATAACCCAAGGATTGATTGTTCAGTTCCCCCTACTGTTGATCACCAATGGGGAAGAGGAAGAAATACGTCCCCACCCTGTCAAGCTATCCCCCCCACCCCCATCAAATTATTAATAATTATGCTGTTTTCAATATAGTAGCAAAATAGACAACAGTGTTTTATACAGTTTCACAAATTATAAATCTATAATTATAAATCATAAAAAAGAATACATATATTGTCATATACTGAACATCAGCCCTATGGGTCATATCCAGATGTCTCATGGACTTCAAGTGTCGTCATTCCCTCTGACAGCAGATTAGCGGCCACTTGCCTAACCCCATAAGATCAAAGTAAATCCTCCTTTTACAGCCAGAGAAGGGTCCAGGGCCAGCAGGGTCTTCTGTCCCAATGTGTATGCACCTCCCAGAGACCATATAAACTGGCTCATGCCTTGTGACCCCAGAACAAAAGGCCATTTTAGAGCATCTGTGATGCAGAGTGCTCACCAGGGAGATCTGGGTGGCCAGAGCAGGGCTTCCCAAGGCTGGTCCCAGCCTAGAGCCTCCCTCCTCCAATTTAGGGGGAGGACAAGAAGATGTGTTTATCCTTGAGGTTTTTGCCAGGCACAAGTGAGGTCACAGGGCTCTTCAGCTGTGTGGCTGTCATGAGCCCAAGGACACTGAAGCCTCATTGTTTCTGCACAGATGGAAGGCGGGAGGGATCAGGCCATGCTTGGTTCAGCCTGCCCCTGTCTGGGGAACAGCATTTGCTCCACACGTGCCTCTGAGCCCAAGATCCTCCCCCTGCCTGCCTGGTGACTCCAGCCTCCTGCCCAAGGGCCCCACACACAGCCTTGTGCCCATACACAAGTAGGGGCTGGTGCCAGGAGTGGCCACATCAAGACAGGTTAGGTTTCCAACATTTTACAAGGATGTAACCCAAAGGTTGGTTCCTCCTCATGAAGTCTGTAAGGAACCAGAGTCATATTTGTGGCAAGGGTCTCATAGTGCCAACCACCAGTAGACAGGACTCCCTTGGTAGGATGCAGTAGCTTCTGGAGAGTTTCCAGGTCCTCACGTTTGTCAGTCAACTGGGGACACAGACACTCCTTACATGGCCTGTAGCTGAACAGATGAAGCAACCCTCTTCCTCTCAGAGATCACAGCCCACAGCAAACACACATGCCCTCTGGATTTTTGGGCTTTTTCCCTGAAGAGCAACCACAGGGGAGTTTCCATCTGTGTGCACTTTCCATCTGTATGCTTCTTTTACTTATTTAAAAAGCACTTGAGGGCTGGGGCTGTAGCTCAGTGGTAGAGCACTTGCCTAGCACATGTGGGGCACTGGGTTCAATCTTCAGCACCACATAAAATAAATAAATAAAATAAAGGTATAAAAAATAAACATGTCTATGTCCACAAAAATTCTTAAAAAAAAAACACTTGAGCCAGGCGTGGTGGTGTGGCACCTGTGTCCCAGTTACTTGAGAGGCAGAGGCAGGAGAATCACTTGGGTCCAGTTCTGGGCCAATGCAGAAACATAGTGAGACCCTGTCTCAAACCAATAAATAAAAATAAAAATAACAAGCACCTGCTCAAACACCCTTTTCCCACAGAAAATATGCAAAGAAGTCTGCAGAAAAATATAACACAACCTCTGTACTGTCCCAGTATGGCAGCCACCTCCCACATGTGCCCTCATGGAGTAATTTAAATGGCTATTGTAGTGGGGGCCACAGAGAAAGACATTTTCATTTTTGTGGAAAGTTCTGTTGGACAGTGCTGCTCCAAAAGATTTTGTTCATTTTGTCTTTTTAGGTCAAGATATCAAGTCAGATGGCTTCAGCATTGAGACTTGCAAAATCATGGTGGACATGCTGGATGTATCCTTTAAAGTGCTCCAAAGAACAGAGACTGGGAGTTAAAAATCTTACTCCTGAGATGTTCCAATGTATACCTTCTCCCCATGCAAAATGGCCAGTTGCACCCTCCCAACTGGGGGGGGCTACAGTGGGACTGTCCTTAGCACTGAGCTGCCTTCCCAGGGAGACATGAAGAAGCCCAGATGAAGGAAACTGAAGTGCCTTCCCTGCCTACCTCCGTAAGCTCAGAGTGCGGTCAGCCAGTCTGTCCTGGGGCTGCTGCAGAGATCTCAACAGTACACCTGCCATACTCTGCCCAGAGCAGTCTGGGTTGTTTCCTGAGTGACAGTATTTCCACTATTTCTCCTGGGAAAATGGTCCCTGAGCCATAATATTTCTGATATGAATCTATTTTCTTTCGTCAAGATTTTCTTCTAGATCTATAGATGAAGCCTACTTCGAAAAGCATTCTCCTTTCCCTTCCCCTTTGATCTAGTTCCTTCCTAGGCCACCAAGAGCAGTCCCAAGAGCAGACTAATCAGGTTCTCCACTTGTTTCTGAGCTTAGTGAGAATGATGATAAGGTTCTGGAACATTTTATCTAGTACAATCATAGTGTGCACCCACTATGTAGCTCCCCTCTCAAGAGGCCTCTTATAAATACTCCAAATAATGCTTTTTAAAAAATGACAAGGGCTCAGCCATCTGAATCCATCTGCCATATCATCCCCTGGCTTATTTATAGCAGGATCTGGGGCTACCACAACACCACCAAGTGAAAAGAACAGCCGGGAGGTTTCTATCTTGCCCTCCTTCCAACCCTTTACATGGAGGGTTTGCAATGTGAAAAGCAGGAGAGGGACCCTTCTGTAAAACCTCTTTATATATGTGCTGTGATGATCACAAGATCCAGACAGGAGGACACCAGGTGACAGGATGCCCAAATGATGTCAGACTCCATGAGCTTTCCTTGACTGAAGGCAGTCGGATGGGAGCGGCAAGCTGGGGCTGAAGGAGTTCTACATTCTCTGGACAAAGATTCAGAAATACCAAGTATGATCCCAGGAGGGCTCCGGGAGGGCAGGAGGATCTGTGTCAGGGAACATTCTAGGCATTTACTTTAAGGTGCAGCAACTCTTCTGGAGGGTACAGAAATATTTCCAAGGGGTTGGGCCTTTATCTGAACGGAGGTCAAAAGGAGGACAGACTGGGCTGGACAAATGCAAACAAACAAAACAAGGACTTTGCAAACTAAGTGGTCTATTCCAGCCTTGACTGGATTAGTGACAAGAAATGGGGTTACCTAAAAGCCATTATCAAGGGTTTCCTGCAAAGGCTGTGTGGCCCTTTGTAGTTAGGCTTTGTGTCAGCCCAAGTACAAAAATTGCATGAGACAATGACCTTTGCCCATGATAATTGCCTAGCTAATTTGATGGGCATATTTCCAAACCTGCTCATAGAGAGAGGCAAAATATTATTAGCTATTTAAGGTACAAACATGGACAATTCTAGCAAGGCCAAACTAGAGGCCTGGAGCTAAGAACTTCATCCCACTCTGTACATACTGCAGTTTGCCACCTGTTTTTTTGTTTTGGGTCATGATTTTGATAACTATTTTCCTTCTTCCAGAAAATTTACCGGGAAATCGATGTTGACAGGTCTGGTACCATGAATTCCTACGAGATGAGGAAAGCACTAGAAGAAGCAGGTAACACTTCACAATCTAGCTCCTTCCCTTTGTTTTTTTTCCACCTGTAGCATACTGAACATTTACATTACACCATGCAATATAAAGCTTGGTTGGTGAGTTATGACATAAAGCAGGTTCAGGTCTAATACAAACTCATCCTTTTCATTCTCCTCTTAAAAACTATTTGGTCAAATTAAATGCAGTCCCTGAGGTTCTGCCTTCAGTGCCTTCTGAATCCAGATTTCCTTCAAAGCAGTCTGGCAGGGCAAACAGGCAGGGCTAGCTCTTAACTGACCTGCCCCCATGCTCCTCCTTCCTGGGTAGAGTTGTTGTCTCAGTTCAACCCTTCCAAGAAGTCCCTAGTAGAACTAGACAGCAATAAATAGGACATAAGCTTGGGGTTAGACCAGCAAAGTAGGAAACTGGTATGCTTTAGGGACAAACATGACAAGAGGCTGTGCACTCTGTTAACTGTGATGTAATGGTGCAGGAGAGACTACAAAAAACAGTGGTATAAATAAGATATACCTTTCCCTCAAGCCATCCAAGGCTGGGGTGGTGCCTTCTACTGTTAAGGCCCTAGGCTCTTCCTATCATGTTGCTTCATTAGCCACTAAGGCTCTAGGACAACTTGCTACCACAACCACAAGCCTCAAACAGCTTGGCAGAGAGCTCTGTGCCTTTAAGGGCACACCCATCACTTCTGCTTACACATCCTATTGGCTAAAACTTAGTCACAAGGAAAGCTGGGAAATGCAGTCTTAATTCCAGGTAGCCATAGTCTCATTGAAAATGCATTTACTGTGGAACAAGGAAGAATTAATATTAGTTTACCACAAATCGTTTCTGCCACCTACATCTAGGATGAGACTGAGCTCCAAGCTGATTCAGAGCTAACTAAATAAACATGGAAAGGAAGCACAATTCACAACCTGTAGTAGCATGACAATGGAAAAAGAGGCAAGAAAAATCTTATGCATTATTAAGGAAGCAAGCAGAACAACAGCAAACAGTTTGGAAACAAAAGAAACAAAGGTACTGGTTTTGCAAAGTAAAACTAGTCTCAGACTGGAGATGTAGCTCAGCGGTAGAGCACTTGCCTAGCACATGCACAAGGCCCTGGGTTCAATCCCCAGCACTGAGAAAAATAAATAAATAAATCTCACATAAGAGCAAGCAGCCCAGAGACAAAAGTGATTGTAATTGTAATTTGAAGTGTCATCTCAGTTCCATAACCTGTCAACAGAGCTACGTGATGCAATCTAATATTTAGCAATGAGTTTGTTTGTTTGTTCACTTAACTTCAGGTTTCAAGATGCCCTGTCAACTTCACCAAGTGATCGTTGCTCGGTTTGCTGATGATCAGCTCATCATCGATTTTGATAATTTTGTACGGTGTTTGGTTCGGCTGGAAACGCTATTCAGTACGTGAACATTTGGGGAAATACTTATTTCAGTTCTTTGGGTACAAAAGCAGCTTTCCTTTCACCACGGTGCAGTCACCTGAACCAGAGACATGGTCTGTCCAGGGACTGAGAATAAAATTCCCTCTTTGTTAGCTTGAAGAAAGAGAAAAAAATGCTTGTGGCAGTCAATGAAATCAGCTGCCAAGTTGGGATGACTTGATCTCTGTCTTGGCTCACTTGCTTCTGACATCTTCTTTGTTTCCCTCCACAGAGATCTTTAAGCAGCTGGATCCCGAAAATACTGGAACGATAGAGCTCGACCTTATTTCTGTAAGTCAGCAGCTCATGCCAACCACCTCGCTCCTAAGGGGACTGGGGGAAGGCGAGAACAGAACGGCCTGTTCCTTGGATGACCTGCCTTTTAAAGTTTTATTATAAAATTTTTCTCGTCCTTTGGGGTAGGCCTGTAAATGGCTACCAAGTCCCACAGTGCACTGTTGTTATTGTTTCTCAACTGGCCTACTGATTTATGAGTTCAAGAAAACACACCTGGCTCCCTCTTCCCATGAGCTTTGACTACAGCATAGCACAAGGTTAAGCTAAGAAGAGGGTGGCTGCCAGATCACTCTCAGAAAAAGGAACTGCTGATCCGTGTGTCTAACTTATGTAAAGAAACCCTGTGGATGAAAGTTGGTTTGGGGAAGACCTGTCATTCTCAGACCAGATCTACGTAAAATACTTTCCAAGAAAATTTTCTCTACTTCCTCCCCACCAAATTAAAGATTAAACTAGCAATAGTAAATAGGTTTGCCATGGATAATTATACATTGCTGGGTCTTGAACCCAGCAATGTCCATCTCTGAAACGAACATCAATCAAATTAAGTTGGTATGTCAATTTCACAAAAAGCAATGTATAAAATGTGCACTTGCCATCCTGATGATAGCTTTGAGGGGAAGAACCTTCTGTCCTCAGGATAGCTGAAGAAGCCAGGTGGGGTAACCATCCATTATCACAGGGCTCCAGTCTTCATTTCTCTGAACCCAGGGGAACAGAATCTGGAGTGACACAGGCCCCAAAGGGATGTGGTGAGATGGCCAAGGTCGGGTGGGAATGGCACTGTATTATCAATCCTATCCATGTGACAGAGAAGCAAAATGTTACCAGGTCTAAGGGACGGGCAACCTGTCCCTTGAATTTTGAACTGTGGAAGAAGCCAGCAACCAAAGGGTTGTTTCACTGTGCTACAACAGATCATAAAGTACCTTTATCCAACTGAAAATAGTTTAGCTGTTTACAAATCATGCCAACTTGCTTAAAAACTCTATTGCCTAGAAAATATCCCTGAGACTGCAAGCTAGAGAAGAATAAATACGGTTGTAACAAACCATGCCATGTATTAGGTTCTGGAAACTTCTGGCCTCTTCTGGATATCCTGTTCTCCCCACCCCTGTCCACCTATCCTGGCCTGCCTCTTCAGTCCACTCCTTCCTCTTTCCTCTGAGCACATCTTACCCACTGGCTCTTATCCCTCCTCAAGAGATCCCTGGGGATCCCTGCCTCAGTAGTCTTGCCAAGGGGGAACTGTGTCCAGAAAACCTCCCTCTCATTTGCTGTGATTTTCAGCCTTGGCTGCAAGTTATGTCACTGAGGGGCTTTGTATATCCCAGACCATATCATTCCAATATAGACCTAAGGTTGAAAACCACTAGTTTCTGGATATCCACTCCCTGACAAACTAACTTCTGATGTGATGTTCCAAGTCAGAGATGTAAAAATGCTAGTGTAATACTTGCATTTCACTCAATGCATTTAGTCCATTCTGCAGTGACCATCTGATTCAAATAACACCGTCGCTGGACCTGTACAGAGCTGGCTAGATTCAAGAACTTAGGTTGAAAAATGTTAGTACATTGATATTTTAGTTCTTGCTCAGATTTTCTGGTGTAACAATTTTCAACAATAATCCAAAGGTTTTAAATAGCCTTTAAGTTTAAAAATGCTTAATGAAATAATTTGTTCTTCTTCTTCCCACAGTGGCTCTGTTTTTCAGTACTTTGAAGTCATAATTCATCGACCTGAAGACTTCTCATGGGAAAAAAAAAAAAATCAGCCAAGGACTACCAGACAAAAATTTTGTATCTGGACCTTGAAATTATGGGAACATTTACTTAAACTGATGATTATAGCTGAAAAATACTATTTGAGATAGCAAAAAACTTTCACATATCAAAGAAAAAGATTTGCATATCATTATCCAACAGGCAAGTGAGTCACTTAACCCTTGATAAGCTAAAGGAAAGCTTTAAACTTGTAAATAGAATACACTTTTTACTTTTACACACTCTCCTGTTCATAGCAATATTAAATCAATATTAAATCAGGAAGAAAAGCAGCTGAGCAAACATAAGTCAATCTCAAAGGCCACAAGGCCCTTGCTGGAAATATTTAAAGCAACTTCAAGTTTTAAAATGCAGCTGTGATATCTACCAAACAGCAGCTCAGAGCCTGCCATTTTCCTAGAGCAAACCAGATATAGGGTGCACCATAAAGTCGTATTTACTCTCATGGCATCTAAAAACTCTAGGGGAAAAAGCTTACCTTACATCATTTGGATTAAACAAGAGACAGGTTTTATATAATATTGACTGGTAACAGTGAGTCATTCTTAAACTCAAGTCCTTGAGCATATTTGGCCTTAATTAAGGAGTTAGTTAGTCTTCTAAATACTGAAGGGATTCTACTCGTGATCATCTGAAGCAGTGTGCCAAAACCACACATCCAGTTTGCAAACTGTCAATGATAAAGGACAAAACAAGCTGTTGGCCGCCTCGAAAGTTTATGTACTTCATTGCTACTAGTATGTGCATCGGGTTAGGGAGGACACTGCTGAGCAGCTCTTATGGAAATGATGCAAGCTGGTTTCCTGGCTTTGGACTCCGGAAAATGTTAACAACATTATAAAAATATTGCCTCTGTTGCCTTATCGCCTTCCAAATGTCCTGTTAAATAAAGGGTTGTCCCATGCAGTCACACCATGCTGTTTCTTTTCCCTCCTGGAGGGTGGTCCTAGTGGAATGGGGTATGGACCTACACAATTATAGCTTGTTTCTGCTTAATTGAGGAATGTTACCTCTTGTAAATGCACATACTGAGAAGATATCTTACCTGTAATTAAATTGTAGAACTATACAATATTTTAAAAATCTAGTTCAGAAACTAATACTTTGACCATGAAGGGCAGCTCTAATTTCTACAGCTTGCTGGTCTCTTTTAAGGAGGCACAGACTTGTGTGCCTTTCTGGAAGTTCCCTGCATTAGCTGAAAGCCCAGTGTCACTGTGGCCAGCAGTGACTGGTGTAGGGAGCTGAGAAAACAGGCAGATTATATCACTGGTCAGCTGCCACAGATCCTTGGGAAAGATGTGCAATGACTCAATAGGCAAATGCCATCTAATACTTCCTGAAAAGGTGAGTCAATAGATTTCCCAAACTCAACTCCAATGCACTGACGTTCTTCCTACTTGCCGAGTGGATCTTGCTGGCTACTTGGGGATTAGAAAACATGGGTATAATCAAAATACACCAGGGTGTATAGTTTTTCTGTTTAGCAGCACAGTTTTCAGGACAGAAATGATAGGGGAGGGGTCTTCTGATTAGGTACAGAGTGGGGCAGAGGGCAGGCCCCCACCAATCAGCAGAGGCTATACCAAAACTGGACTGTGATGGAGAACACACCCCTCTTGCTGGACTTTCATCTGGAGAGCTGACCCAGTGGACTTTACCATTTTAGTTGCAATAAGAGATAAGGTTTAAAAAAGAAATAGGGCATGTGCTTATAATAGCCAATTTAGAAAAGACTAAAAATGGAGGCAAAATGACCAAGCATCCTGAGCTTTCTCACCTAAGATTTGTCAATTTTATCTATTTTACAGGGGGGAAAATTATAAACAAAGTAAACCTTCCCTTTCTGACCCTGTACAAACTCACCCTGAATTAAACCCTCATGAATTGCAATACTAGGCCCACCTCAGTCCCTCCATCAACTATACTCACTCCCTGTCTTCAGTTTCTTTTCCTACAGTAAATGAACCTATGTGCTTTCCACATCCCAAAGGACATAGCCTACTCCCATCCCTCCATCTTTCCTTCAAACAAGCATCCTGAGTGGCTGCCCATATTAGACCTAGTTCTCTAATTGTTTCTCATCGATCCCTTCACTTGGTACAATGTGGCTAAATAGCCTTTCACTTTTTAAATCCACTTTTTTTTCTTTTTAAAAAATGTGTTCATTTTAGATAAATAAGACAGTAAAGTATATTTTGGCATATTATCCATACATGGAGTATAATTCTGACCATTTACTTCCTAATGTCAAATACTACAAACACCTACCAGTCCCCCATCTCTCTGGGCCTTTCTGCTGCTTTTAACTCCACTCTCTATTCCCTGTATAGAGAATCTGTATTCTCCAGGTTTTCTTAATGTCTGCTTCTCTGGCTAACTCTGATGACTCCTTTCATGTGACAACCCCAGGCCATCTTTCACTGCCCCTAAGCAAAATTCCTCAATGGCTCCAAGGCCTTTAGGACCTAAGCATAACCTGAAGTTTATTTATCTCCCCCCCACCCAAGGCATGGTCCACTCTCCAGTTGGTTTACTCCTCAGCATTTGCAAAAATCTAAAAATTCCACTATCATAAAAATATGTCATTATAGTAAAAACTATTATATGTATACTATTAATGTATAATAGTATACATTATAATATATCTGGAAAGCATTGACACGTGTTCATCAGATAAATAATTAAATTACACAATAAAGTATTATGTAGTCATTAAAAACCCTGTTGATACTTATCCAATGTCAAGCATAAAACAAGACATAACTGCTTAACATATGCTCTCCATAATTCAAGAGAAAAAAAATTCATAGACAAGACTACAAAGTAACACATTCAAGTGTAATAGTGCCTCTAAAGTGGCCTTCCCCCCTTTATAACTTTTCTATATTTTTTCTATACTTTGATATTTTTCTTAAAAAAGTATTTCTTAGTTGTAGTTGGACACAATACCTTTACTTATTTATTTTTATGTGGTGCTGAGGATCAAACCCAGGGCCTCTCACGTGCTAGGCAAGTGCTCTACCGCTGAGCCACAATCCCAGCCCTATACTTTGATATATTTCTATAAGCTTCAATAAGGATACTTTGATAATAAATTAAAAACCAAAATAAGAAAATAAAACAAATGTTCTAAATTTAGGATTAAGGAATATAAAACTGAGATCATCATTGTTTCCTGGTTTTCACATCTTCCCTTTCCATACATTTACATAATTCTTTTGGGGTGGGTACTAGGGATTGAACCACTGAGCCACATCCCCAGCCCTTCTTTATATTTTATTTAGATATAGGGTCTTACTAAGTTACTTAGTGCCTCACTAAATTGCTGAGGTTGACTTTGAACTTTAGATCCTCCTGTTTCAGCTTCCTGGGCTGCTGAGACTACAGGCATTTACCACTGCGGCTGGCTGCATAATTCTTTAGTTTACCAAGCACTTCTCATATAGTACTTGGTATGATTTCCCTTTCAGCTCTGAAGTATGCATGAGATAGGTGGGCTCTTGTAGAGACTAACTAGACCTTGGTAATGGAGACCCAGATCTTCAAGCATGATTGTCTCTTTCATTAGATGAATAAAAGCTCCAGTGTATATCTGTATCAGATCAAGTAGGACAAAAACACAAATGTCACCAGATTCAAACACAATGTACCCACAACTGATTTATAGTTAGATTGTTCAACCAAAAGGAAGCACTCTGAACTCCAAATAATAAATGGTTGACATGAGATCTGACTTTCACAAAAGCTTGCCTGAGAACCTGTACATTTCTTCCCAGGAACATCATATATATTGTCAAGAGCTCAACCCTGGGCAGGTGACTTGTCTCAAGAGGTATGAGGCACCTGTGCCCTGCTTTTAGAGTGTGATACCTCTGCTCTCCTTTAATAAATTTTTGCTTGTGCCTTGCTTTTGATACATCCTGAAATTCTTTTCAGCAGCTGTCAGGAACCTGTCTCGGTTGAATCGAGGTCCCACTGCCTCCTCGAAGGGACCTCCTCAGACTCATGTCAGTGACAATCAAAGGCAATGGCATTAAACTCCATTATATCTATCAGGAAAATAAGGCACAGGATGATCAAGTGCCCTGGGCATGGTCATTTAATGGATTAGTTAAGAAGTCCAGCAGCCCAGTTCTAGAATGCATGTTGAATTTATTTCCTATTGCTATAATAGCATTTAATACAAATTGTTTTAAAAATACATAATAATGCACAGTTCTGTAGATCAGAAGTTCAACCCCAGTCCCATCAACACTTTCTTTCGGAGGGATGGATTCATTTCCTGGCAGGCCTATGCAAGTTGGCAGAGTCCAATTCCATGTGGCTAAAGGACTGACCTTCCACATTCCCTAACTCATGATCCCTTTGAAGAGAAGGGTCTCTTCTTGGGAGACCCTTGGGACTCCTGGCTTCCTCTCCTACTTTTGATGGCTCATATGATTACACTGCCCATTGGATAATTTACCTGGCTAATCACCCTATTTTAAGGTTAGCTGATTAATGAACTTATTTAAATCTGAAAAGTCCCTCACAACAGTACCTACACTGGTATTGGGTTGAATTACCAGGGGATTGTGATGCTGGGGGAGGGGAGGCATTTTTAGAATTTTTGCCTACCATGTATATTTTGGAAGTTTAGTTCATGTTGTTATTTTTTTCTTCATTTCTCTGAAGGATGTGTATGTATGGCTTTCATCTATTCCTTGTTAGAAGTTAGCTATTCATAAAAAAGTATTAAGAAAAATGACCATGGTTTTTCATTTGTGTCTTCTCTTTAATTATAGATCCAGTTGAGTATAATAACATATGCTTGTAATCCCAGAGACTTGGGAGGCTGAGGCAGGAGTTCACAAGTTCACGGCCAGTCTTGCAACTTAGTGAAGCCCTAAACAACTTGGTGAGGCCCTGTCTCAAAATAAAAATGGCCATGGATGTAGCTAAGTGGTAGAGCACCCCTAGGTTTAATCCTCATACCACACACACACACAAAATTTTATTTATATATTTATCTCCTCTAAGTAAAATGATTTCCAAGCAACTCATGTATTTAGTAACATAGTATTAAAACATAACTCTATAAAGAGAGTGAAATAAATGAGGGCACAGCATATCAGAGGCTCCAGGTCAAAAGTACCCATAGGCTTTTATCCCCAATGATCATCAAGATCATTAAAAAATTTCAGTTCTGTACCAAAGACCATCCAAACACAAAACACAAAATAGTTTTCTGTAAGCAAAGAAATACTTCTTACATTAATCACATGTCTGATAAGTCTTATTACAGAACTTTTTTCACTTGAGTAAGAGATATTGCAATAATTTGTGACCTTCAGACGAAGCTGTTTAGGACATCTAAAATGAAAACCAGTAAAACAGCTTAGAGTCAAAAAGTTTAATTTTATTACAATGTTTTTAAAGTTAGCTATGATCTTGACAAATACTATGGGTAAGTCTATACCAACTCCAAGGTACAAAAGACAATAAATATAGATTCATATTCAGCCTAAAAACAAGATTCTAAATCTAATTTAGATTAGGTAGTGTAGTTTAGTTTCAATATTTAAAATCCATGTATAATTCTTAAGATGCTAGAAGAACTCATATATAATAGTTATTGCTCACTGACAAACAACCAGCAGTTCTTTGCTGACAATATACAAGTGTACAGCACATTCAAGCCCCCACACGAGTCTGAGGCCTGCTGGTGCTAGAGGACTGGGGATGGTGCCGTGATGGCACTGGTCCTTCTTGCAGGAGGACTGGTACAGAACAGTGCCAAAAATGCCCACTAAACTGGACAGGAAGCCGATTTCACAAAAGCTCAAGGAATGGTCCTCTTTCTTGCAGAAAACGAGACTGTCACTGTGTCTTCCTGAATGTTCCGTGGAACAGCTGGGCCCAGCACAGTA